TCACAATGCTGAAGTGGAGTAAAAGAAGGGCTCATCAATTCTTCTACTTGGCTCTCTTATCACTATTCGTTCTCTTCTCTCCTCTTCACAATCAAAGCGCCAGTAGGCTCCATGGTGGAATGCAGAAGGAAGACTCTGCTACACGCTCTTCGTTTCCTACCTATCTGACCACCAACTCATCTATCCATAAATCATCGAGGGTTTTAGGTTTGTTTCACCGAAACCACTAATTAATGTCTCGGAAACTCTGATTTGTGCTCTTTGCTCTCTGATGGCATTAATAAACATGCTAAAAATGGTTGTGAGATAAGTATCTGTTGGTTATAGCTGTCAAATGAATTTTCCTGGTTTTGGCTTGGACTCTGGTTTCGTGTAGTTTAGGTTGTTTTGGATGAGATTATAGACATAATTTGTTGGGGGTCTGGTTTCAGGTGATTCGGAGTGGGCTAAGGCATGCGGTTCTTCTCGGAGTTATAAGAGAAAGCTAAGACGCTCGACGAGATACCCACAGCCAAGGAGGAGCCGACAGGAAAAATGTGATATTTTTGCTGGCAGATGGGTTTACGACACTGTCTCCTATCCATTGTACGATGAGGGTGGTTGTCCATATATGTCTGATCAATTAGCTTGCACAAAGCACGGTCGGCCAGATGTGGAATACCAGAGAATGCGATGGCAGCCCCATGGATGCAACTTGAAGAGGTTTGGTAATTTTTACTTGTTTTAAATATACATTTTGTTGAATCTGGTTTTGCTTGTGGAATCACACCGAAAGGGAGAGCTAGTGAAGGAGGAAAGGATGAACTAGATAAAAGAAAGTACATGATGTATGATATTAAATTTCAGGGGCACGGTTCAATAGAAAAGGAATCCTCCTTTTTACATTAACTTCCCTTTATATAGGGCCATTTTTTTTTTATAAAATATATACAGAGTTATGATCATACTTGGATCCCTTAGGATTCTTGACTGCTTGCATCTGTCATCTCTTGTTTCAGGTGTCTATATTATATCTTTGTAGGCATCTGTCTTTGACGTTTGGTTCTTTGTGCTCCTTGTTAATTCATATCTAATTAGGGGTGTAAATGAGCGGAACATGGGCGAGCTCAGACTCAGCTCTTGTTCGAATCGTTATAAAATACCATTTTTTTTGTTCAACTCGTTTATTTTTCGAACACAATAAATGTGTTCGTATTCGGCTCATTTGCTTAGTGAGCCATACACGAG